ATCAGCGCGCTGGGGCCGTCAATCGACAAGAGTGCCACTTTTTGAAGACTTCCTGAAGTGCATTAGCGGTCGGCGTCAAGTTTGTCGCGTTGTCGCTGATGACGGTTTTTGGTTTGCCTCTCCGCGCCACGAATCTACGAAAGGAAAGGAGAAAACTTTGCGCTGATAGATCCGTTGTTACTTCTAGATGAACTGCTTACGAAAGAAGGCAGGTAAAAAGTGTGACCCATCTTTTTTGAGTGCCTGTTGCGCAGTTGACAGTGATGGGGCCAAAAAGGTCAATGCCTACATGAAAGAAAGCACTTTTCGCTACAACTCGCATTGCCGATAAATCTGGCATAGGTGGTAGCTGGAACGGTTTGGCCGTCCATCTTTTACAAAGGTTGCAGTGCGCCAACGTTCTCTTGACAGTGTTGCGCCCAGCTGGAATCCAGAATTTCTGTCTTACTTTGACAAGCGTGGCTGCTAGACCACTGTGCAGCAGTTGTCGACGGCAGTCCATGATGATGAGCAGAGTTAGTTTTGAGTGTTTCGAGAGAAAGATAGGGTATTTCTGAGGATGAGGAAGATGACTTCCAGAGAGTCTTCCGTGACATCTCAAGAGATTGTCTTTATCCCTTTGAAGATTCCATTTTTCAACATCTAATTCTCGTGTCGTAGTTTGAGCTTGTTGGATAAGGATATGCTTTGCCACCTGCAAATCCAGAGCACAAAGTTCGGATCTTGTCAAAATGTCGTCGAGTTTTGGAATTGTCTTTTTAAACGCTTTTTTTATGAACCGTAACATCCACCCCGTTACTCTTAGAAGTCGCCTCGAATCTGAGAAACGAGAAGCGTCAACAAAAAACGTCTCTGTTAGCTCGCCATTGTTGGTTTGTAGTGTAAGAACTTTTACTGTTTGGTTGCATTCGCTTTTAGTTCCTGATTTGCTTCATCATCGTCGGTCGGTAACGGGATATTTGGCCAACAGTTTTGCTCCATTTGTAACCACAACGGGCCTTTCCACCAATGAGAATTTGCGTTTAATTCTGTTGGAGCTGCGCCTCTTGTGGCAATGTCTGCAGGGTTGTCTATGCCGTGTATGAACTTGAATTGAACGTCCTTTGCCTCTTTTATTTCGCTTACACGATTTTTTATAAACCGACGTAATTTCTCAAGAGTGGTCCCTGTTGACCGAGATAATGCGCACTTGGAGTCGCTCCATAAATATTTACGAGTTGTTTGTAGATGCATTTCTGTTGCGACAAAATTTAATAGCTGAATTCCTATTAGTATGCCAAGAAGTTCTAATCGAGGAACTGACATACCGTTGATCAAGCAAAGTCGGCTTTTAGCGAAAATTATGCTTGTGTTTCCATGGTTGTCACGACAGTATAGTATAGCAGCGTAGGCTTTTGTTGATGCGTCTGTAAATGCGTGGATTTCTTGGACACAACATAGTTTTCGCGGTAATATAAAGACTGTCGGTCACTATGTCCGCAACAAACGGTCGTATTCGGCGGGTGCTTGTGGTGACAAACCACTTTTCCATTCTTGTTGTTCCCTATTTACGGTTTGTAGAAAGTATTTCAAAGGAAGTAGTGTTGGAGAAATAAGTCCAAGTGGATCAAAATGGCTTGCGATGAACTTCAAAATAGAGCGTTTTGTGGGTTCCGTTGTCGGTACTGGTAAGGTGGGGATCTGAATTACGTCCTGTGTGCTGTCCCACCGGACACCAACTACCTTGAGTTGCGTTCGATGAGCTTTATCTTCTGTTTGGAATACATCATGTGTGGCGGGGTCATTGGAGATAA